CTCAGCGTGGCAACTCTACTATGTTCATAACAATCAGATGAATGGCTTAGGAATCACAGAGGGCAAACTACAGTCATTTTTATATTTTGATTGATACAAGCATTTTACTGGTGGTAGAACCTCTTGTGAGTCCGCACGGGTAGGTACCACCACCCTGCCTATTTCTGCCGTGAAGCAGTAATGCGTTTCGGTTTGAAGGGTGGGGCAGCCGTTGTAACTATACTGAGATCTTAGAACTTATATCTCAAGGTGGGTGGCGCATTTACGTTGTAGATGTCCATGGGCTCCAGTAACCACTTTACACCAGGTGGGCTGTGAGCTCCTCCACGCATCTAAGCAATAAAAAAAAAAAAAAAAATGGAANCCTCGTACTGATCGCGCGTTTCTCTCATTATTGTATTTTCATATATTTGTTAGTCGTTTGTTTTGTGTCTCGTTAATTTGTTAATAATCTGTAGTGTATCGTGTTGTCGTAATATAGAACTATTTCTCGTATTGTTTCGTTTAATTTTTTATATCCAGTAAACTCCAGTCGTGCGTCGGAGCGGACACACACACTTTTTGTTTGTTTTATTTTATATTTTTATTGATACAAGCATGGAAGTTCGTAATCCTATCACGTCATCTCGGATCCTCCCGATCCACTAACGGTGCTTTTAGGTACTTCAAGCACCGTCGCAAGCGACGGGTTCGACGAGTAAATTAACTCTCAGACATAGCCCACCGAGTTTCTCGCCGGATCTTCTCAGTGGGTCGCGTTTCCGATCCGGTGGTAGATTCTGCGAAGCACGGCTCTTGCTAGGGTTCGTGTTAGCATCGTCGTCAGGTTTGAGCCCCGTGAGCTCACCTACAAACGTTAGGGTGAAGCTGAAATAGCCTCTCAAGGCTATCAGCATAGGTAAAAAATAAATAAAAAATTAGAAATATTGTTGTAAATCGAATGCGTTCTTTTGGCCAAAATATAAATTAAATATAGATTATATATACTATATACATCTTATCGTTTTTTTTCCCTACCTATGCTGATAGCCTTGAGAGGCTATTACAGCTTATTATCGTTTAATGACTAATAATACATTGTTTTCAGTGGTTCTAATATCGTCATTATTACTCTGTATTGTATTTTATCTGCCGGCTAAAAGTTATCATCTTTTAACATAATTTCCTAGTTTAAACCCGAAGTTAGATTAAGATAAAGAAAAATAATTTCAAATAACATAGCTGTTACAATCATAATACGATAGAGCGATTCGCGCTTACGTTCAAAAATCGAATAGGGAAAAATGATAGAACTTTCATCACGGTAATGTTATGGGTAATGGGCACGCCATGTGTCCTGGCAGGAAGGTCGTGTCCTTCAGTTACAATCACACTTGGTCGCTCTTCTATCCCAAATAGTGTCACTTTTACTCGACATTTGTTCTATATTATCCTATCTAACATTAACTTATCGAATAGCACAGAAGCAATCGAAATTTATTACGTAAATTAGCCAGTTACTCGCCAGTTACAAATTACACAGTTAGAATATAGGTCGACACATTCATAAGAACGCATCAATCGAATCCAGAGCAATAATTGATTTGCAACTTCAACTTGGGCAGTGACAATCCCAGTAATCCTTTAACCGTGACTGTGTTGTGGACTGTGAACACATCGGTCGATTTATTCTATACAAATAATAAGGTCGGCGGTTCAATACAGTACCTACACGTGGGTAGAGTCCACTTCATTATACCGGAATAAGCTTACCCAAAAATATCAATATTTCTAGTTAGCCATTACGATTTTCAAAAGATTGGCAATATTGCGAAAAATCCGTTAAAATCCGTTCCGTATTAAAATTCCAGGTATTGTAAAGGTAGAAAATAGATATATTTAATACCAGCAAACAAAAATTAAAAGCTCTTTAAGTTTGATTACTATCAAATACAAAAAGATAATTCATTGTTGTTCTTTCATTTCTGATGGTCATGCCTTTGCTCGTAGAACATATTATTATAGTTACTACGGCCAAAAAGTGATCTAGTTTCGATCGTGGACCAGAAGTCGCAGCGTGGGTAAGTTTTCCTATGTCAGAAACAATGACTGTTTTTTGATAGTTAATTAATAATTTGAAATTATCGAGCTAACTTTTAGAAAAATTAATTTTCATTTCAATATTTGCAAAAAGTATCGGTAATACCTATAACATATACTGAACCATTACTGTTATTCAAGTTACATAGCAAAATTCGGAGAAGTCAATATTCACATATTTTAAACTGGTAGTAGAGCGTGTTGTAAGCCCGGACATTACGACTATCCTGCCTATTTTTGTCGCGAAGCGGTCATTTGTTCCAATCATTCATACTCATTTGGTATGAAATGTGGGATAGACATTATACAATACAACTAGAACTTCATCCTCATGCCTCAAAATAGCTGGCAGCATTCACTTAGTATGCTCTATGGGTTCCCGTAACCATTTAACACATGGGCCATAAGCGCGATCAACCATCCAAGCAAAAAAAACACTTCCTTTTCTCTAAAATTTCACAAACAGAAAACTCAACGTAATGTTGATTAGATTATTAAGAATGAGATTTAAAATAATATGAATTTACAAGCAAACACAAAAATATTCACATTATACAATGGGTAAAAAAAAAACACAAAAGTCAATCAAAATACTGATATACTATCTATATAGTATATCTATATACTATCTATCTAGTTTAACTCCTTATAACGTAAAGCGTTCATGCTCGAAGAGCAGAGCAGCCATTTACGGATGCAATTATGATTTTAATTTTACTTAGGCTTGACAATGGTTTTACCTTTCCAGTCAGTCTGTGGATTCACCTTGTTATAGCTGTGGACTTTGCTAATCGTTGTTTAATACCAAAAGAGGTAATAAATAGTAATGATAGCATAAAAGCCAAGTAAAGTATTTCAAAGTGCATACATCGATTTTTAACCTGAACTTTCATACGACAAAATAAATAAGGCCATATATTGCCAGTTCCCGTCACATTGTCTTCTAATTTTTTTGGCCACCAAGCAGGTCAACTAGGAGAACGTAGCTATACCAACAAGTTTTAAAAAAATATGAATATAAGTCAAACCGCTTATTACTATTATTTATCTATATTTTTAATATACAATACATTTATACAATACTCTAATAAACAAAAAAAAACAAAAAAAAACCTTCCCGATCCTGCGGACAGAATGGAAAACAGTCGACGTCGCCCAAAACACGTCTTAGTCTACCCTACTTAGCGGTAGGCAGCGTCTTGACTCTGCCTCTGGCATAGCTGAAGTCCATAGGCGACGGTAACCACTCAGGTAGGCCATATGCTCGTCTGCCCACAAAGGCAATAAAAAAGAAATAAATAAAAAAACAGTCACTGGAAGTGGCTTTTCGGGTTCTTCCAAAAAGTCCACTAAAGTTTCTGTAAATAACCACCATTTTACTAAAACGTTATATCATCCCATCTCATCTCATTTCACCCCAATCGATTACAGCCTCAAATAAATCATCTTCACCTCTTTTTATATCTATATCATTTTTATAATAGTATGGGGAAAAGTCTTTTCTCATTATAGTAGGTAGGTATGTATGAACTTGTAATAAAATCTCTTTGGTTATACTATTTGTATCTGGCTGGTTTTGGAATAATTAAAGGTTTAAAATTTAAAAAAAGACAATTCCAAATTCAAATTAAGAAAATGTGTGATTTTTATTTGTTTTTCGTACTGTCAAGATTAGGGAATCTAATGAAGAAAATCGATACATTTAAAAAGTTTACTACAAAAAAGGTAAAAATGCAACGTAGGCCGCGAAAAAAAATTGCGATGTTTATGGACCTAGTGCTGTGTCTGTGAAAGTAGCACAAATTTGGTTTAAGCGTTTTCAATACGAAATTTTTATTTTAAGAATTTGTACGTCGCTCTAATCGAATCTTTTTGAAAAAGTGAAAGTGACTGATCGCATCTTTTTGAAAAAGTAAAGCAAGATCGGCATATCAGTAGTTACGACGTAGCTGAAGAACTGGGAATTGACTACAAAACAGCTTTGGCTCATTTGAAAAAAAATAGATACACAAAAAAGTTCGATATTTGGGTACCTCACGAGCTCACTGAAAGAAACCTAATGAACCGTGTACTCATTTATGATTCTTTATTACGACGTAATGAAACCGAACCATGTTTGAAGAAGCTGATAACTGGTGATGAAAAGTGGATCACGCACGACAAGAACGGACGAAAAAAGTCGTGGTCAAAGGTCGGTCAGGCTTCACAGACTGTGGCAAAACCTGGGTTAACTTGCAACAAGGTGATGCTGTTTGTGTAGTGGAATTGGAAGGACATTATTCATTATGAGCTGTTACCACCAGGCAAGACCATTGATTCTGAACTCTACTGCGAACAACTGATGAGATTAAAGGAAGAAGTTGAGAGAAAGTGGCCAGAATTAATCAACAGAAGGAGTGTGGCTTTTCATCATGATAACAATGTGACCTTACACATCTTTAGCCATTCAGCAAAAATTAAGAGAGCTTGACTGGAAGATGTTAATGCATCCGCTGTTTATCCGTATATCCGTCCTGACCTTGCACCTTCAGGTTTCCACCTGTTTCGGTTCTTCAGAATTCTTTAGGCAGTGTCAGATTAACATCACGAGAGGACTGCCAAAACCAATTGTCTCGGTATTTTGATCAGAAGCCCCAAATTTTTATAGCAATGGGATCATGTCCCTATTTACAAAATGGCAAAAAGCTATCGAACAAAATGATACCTACATACTTTAGTTAAATGTAAATAAACTATTAAAAAAATTTGTTAATTTTCTTAAAAAATGCGAAGAAACTTTTTCCCCAACCTATTATATTAATTTTCATGTAACTGAATATATAAAAGATTAGGCTGTATAATATATATATGCTTTCGCCTTTCTTGTTAGAAAATGGAAATACTACAACTAATCATTTGTCAGTTTTGTCACTGCTAGTTGTCAATTAGAAACATTTCGTTTGTGTTGTTAAGGATGATTTTCTCGTGTTATTTTTTTAATAGATCTAATTGATTACTCTTCCCTCTGGGTACACGTTTAATATAAAACAAACAAGTGGAGTGTGTAAGAAAATCATAACTTGTAATTGTTGTGAAATAAATACTATAAAATTTAAACATGAGTATGCGCCCCGATGACCACCGAAGAAAATGGGACAAAGAGGAATTCGAGAAAATTGCAGCCGAGCGTTTGAAAGCAGAGCTAGAAGAAGAAGAAAAATCCAAGAAGAAAGGTAAAATATTTGTGTCAACACACTTTGTTACGTTAAAATACAAATTTGACACAACATATAAATGTTTGTTTAATTTTCATTTTCCAGCCACTCCAGTCAAACGTGAACTTCTCAAACAACGTGAATATAAAGTAGATTTGGACTCGAGACTCGGGAAGAGTGTAGTAATCAATAAGAATACGCCAACGTCCCAATCTGGAGGATATTATTGTAATGTTTGTGACTGTGTTGTTAAAGATTCAATAAATTTCCTTGATCACATCAATGGTAAAAAACATCAGAGGAATCTGGGAATGTCCATGAAAATAGAAAGGAGCAGCTTAGATCAGGTGAGCTTACTTTTTCACATGTATGTATATGCATAGTACCAAGCAGGTAAATAGGATTGTTGACTTGCTACTAGATTTATGGTCTGAGATCATCAATTGGCCACTGTTGCATCAAAATAATAACAAACATCATGAACCAACGCTATTATTTTTGTGATTGCCTGAGTTGAGCAAACCTACCATCCCACTCAACTAGAGCACTCAATATTAAAATAATTCTCAACAAATTCTTTCAATCTTAATTTTATCAAGTTCTAATGCTATTGTTAAGGAATAATAAATGTAAAATGTTCAACCAAATAGATGATTTAAATTTCTAGACCACTAATTTGAAATAATCTATCTAACTCATCTAGCTGTTCTCAATTTTATAAATACCATTCAGGTTTTAATAATATTTATTCTATTCTATCATAGCTACTACTACTACATTATATTTGTTTGGTTCCAGGTAAAAGCAAGATTTGCACTCAATAAACGAAAGTTGGAAGAGAAAAAGCGTGAATATGAATTAGACACAAGATTAAAGGAAGCCGCTGAAGAAGAAGCTCGTGTGAAAGAGCTACGTAGGGAGAGACGTCGGGACAAGAAACGGAAGTTAATGGAGAATGATGAAATAGATGATACACCAGCACCTTCTGAATTAGCACAAATTATGGGGTTTTCTGGCTTTGGAGGATCTAAAAAATGATATGTTTTAAAATGTAAAGCTTATATTAATAAATACTGTGTGGTACAATAATGTTTCATTGAATGTTTTAATTATTATTTGGCTAATAATTCTATTTGCCCTGACCTTGTTTTATCAAGGTATAATTATGAACTTTGATTTAGCAGACAGGATAATATTACCATATTTATTTGGAAAAGGCTAGAAAAAACGACACCATGTAAATGTAACATGTTCCAAATGCTTTTTCCAATTAAAAAATATAAATTATAAGGCTACAATGTCCACTACCGGACTTGGTATGAGGGCATGTTTTTCATGTGCTAGATGAAAGCTTTTCACTGACTCCAGTAGTCCTGTATATGTCAAAACTCACATCAACTTTAGTTTTTGGGATTTGGGATTTTGGGATATGTAAATCGCACGTGACTACTTTGACTGACTGACTTTTCGAGGACAATAAACAATTCAACAACAAAATCAGTTGGCTGGGCGTTAAAAGAGCGCTCATCTCTCTACTCTAAGTCGTTTCTGTTGAGTCTGGGCTAAGATAACGATCTCGCCCAAATCTATAAATTAAAATAAGACATGACTTAAAGGTCTTAGTCACCAGGTCATAAAATACCTTAAAAAAAGAATTTTATATAATACTTTTTGGCGGGAACGCGAGGCGTGAAGTTGTGTGATTTGTTTTATTTTGTGTTTCTTCGGGTTTAAATGTGTAATAATGGTGGTTTATTAACTGTTTAATATCTGTGAAAGTGCACAAATGTGGGAAAATGAAACAAAGCCGTTGGACGTAATTTCTCGGGATCCTCAAAAAAGTCCACTGAAAAAATCTTAGTAAGTGACCACCATTTTACTCAGATTATATTTCATCCCATATCATCTCATTTCATTTCATTTAATTTCATCCCAGTTGATTAATGTCTCAAATTAATCATCTTCATTTCATTTCACTCCATAATATAATTTTTCATAAAAATATGAATATAAATTAAAATAAGATATGACTTAAAAGTCTTAGTTAACAGGTTATAAAATCCCTGAAAAAAAAATTTCGATATATCGAAATTTTTATATATATCAATTTATATCGGAAAAAAATATCGATATTTTCATATATCGACTTTATTGTAAAAAAATCGTTTTATTATTCGTAGGTAAGTCAGCTCAAAAATGATTACACACTTTATAGTCCAGTACATTTATGAAACAAATTAAATTATAAATGTACTTAGTCTGGCCATAAATACTGTTACAAAAAAATCTATGGCAAATAACATTTATTACTTTTACAGTGTGTTAGTTTATTTCATAAATATAAAACAATTTAAAGTATAAAAAGCTTATTCGAAGTGGTCTCCATTGGCTGCAATACAGTCCTTTAAACGTTGAGGCCAGTTATCAATAGAAGCACGCACTCTTTCCATGGGAAAATTTTTCAGAGCCAATCGTACGGATTGTTTTAGGGACTCCAAATTATCATGGCGTTTAGAGCCAGCTGTACTCTCTAAAACTGACCATAAATCATAATCCAGCGGATTAAGATCGGGATTAAAGATCGGGCCAGTCTTCAGCTCTGATGAAGTCCGAAACGTTCGTTTCCAACCAAGACTGCATAGACCGAGCTTTATGAGCTGGTGCCGAGTCTTGTTGGAAAGACCATTCTTGATTATTGAACATGGGGTTGTTAAGAGGCTTCACTACTTTCTCAAGTATGGTATCTTGTTAAACTTGTGCCGATATTTGGATACCTTTTTCACAAAAGTATGGCCCAGTCACTCCTTCATAGCTAATACCCCACCAAATCATCACTGAAGTCGGGTAGAGCCCACGTTGCATTCTGTCGACTAATTTGGAAACTTCCTTAGAACTTTGAGCATAAATACGGTCATTTTGTTTGTTAAAATGTTGCTCAATTGTAAAAAAATTCTCATCCGTAAACAATTTTTTTCTATGACCTCCCTTTGCGTACCGCTTCAGTAGTTGTTTCAATTTTACCACCCTATTCTCTTTTAAATTATCAGTTAAGAAATGACCAGTACGTCGCTTATAGGCTGCAAGTCCTAAGTCATCTTTTAAAATACGCGACATGGTTCTAGGTGCTATCTTCATCTCCCGAGATAAAATATTTTGCTTTCGAACAGGATTTCTTCGAATTCATTCCGTTACTGCTTTGACCACCTTTTTCGTACGAACACTACGTGGACGGCCAGATCTTTTTCTGTCACAAGCAGAGGAGTTCTCATTGCACCTATTAATAGCCCGGTACACAAACATTTTACTAATACCAAGCGTATGGAGAATTTTTAATATTGCATTTGGCTCCATACTTACTTTGTATAATGCAATCACAGCGATTCGGTTCTCTTTGTCACCCCACTCCATTTTAATATCGCATAATATTGTACAATGTATTGGCGCCAAAATGAGAAAACTCAGTGAGCAATCATTTAGAGAGGAAATGACAGATTTCAAATTCAAATGTAATATTTTGTTTATTTTTAATTGTAACAGTATTTATGGCCAGACTAAGTATATAAGTGTTACGTTATATTATTATTTTTTAAATTTAAATTAGACAATTAAATATTTTTCAGTAAGTTTTTAAAAATACTCTTTTTTTTATTTGTTCAGTTATTTGGCTGCTACGATTATTAGGCACTAAAATATTGATTGTAGAAGCAACTCGTTCAGGTGTTACTCAGTTTAAGATAATTTTGTAGATTAAATAAACTAAGAATTTTTTATTTTTTTTAATTAAAAAAATTATCAAAAAATATCTACATTTCAATATCGAACTACCGATATATCGTCCAAAAAATATTAGTAACAAATATCGATATTTCAAAATAATTATATCGATATTTTATCAACAGTCCTACTATGAATACAACTGCTTCTCGTCAAAGTGTATAATCTATGCTTCTCGTACATAAATGTCAATATTATCACCTTTTTTGTAAAGCTAATCGCTAAGATCATTAAGGACTAGAATATTAGCTGACCCAAACATTTAGTTCCTCGTAGATCTACACAAAAAATACAGATACTTGTGAATTCGATTTATAAATGTAAAACTGCTAAATAATGACAACTCCCGAATCTCCACCACCTGACGAAGTACAAAAACTTGAAGGATGGACCAAAGACGAAAAGCTGTCCCTTTTATATGCTTTAAAAACCTGTGGATCAAAAAATATAGACTGGATTCATCAAAACATATCTACGAAAACACCAGAAGAAATCATACATGCTATTGATTATTACAAAAATCTAGCCCTACTAGAAGTGAAACCTTTAGATAAGAAGATAAAAACTAATACGCGTCCCTGTAAGAATCCACGAATACCATTAGCGTGTTGGGCAAAACTATTAACAGATACACTACACTACAAGAGCTTACAAACGGAAACATCCACTGCTATTCGCATGATTGCTGATTTGGAGAACATACCACCTGCATTAAATACAGACAAGTTTGATTTTAGAAAGATTTACTTACAAATAGCAAATGCTATGGATGGGAAACCAATACCCGATGACAAATATTCAGGATTAATATTGAAAAAATGTATATTAGAAACTGCACTAATAAGTAAAGCATTCATTCGTACTAGCTCCCTAAAAAATCTTTGTAAAACTATTACAGTTACCCAGAAAGAAATGAATTACTATCCAATGTTTGTCCACAACAAGGAATTAGCTACAGTTCGGCATTTGGCTTCACAGAGATCATATAATCCACTAAATATTCCAGAAGAATTCTTGAAACCTTCACTGTGTATAAAGTCAAAAGAGGAAGAAAACCAATTATTGTAGATTTACAAGTCATGCAAAAAATTATGGTCCTCAATTTTGTTTATGAACAATAAGATCAGTATTAACATATTATACCGGAAAAATAAATGATGGTTAAATATACTCAATTACAATTTTAATCTTATTCAATTTATTTTTACTTTTATGCAATAATTGTCCTTGCTTATCAATAATAATTTCTAGATTTATGGATTAAATTTATGCAAGAGCCGACTTAACCTAATAGCTGTATGGCTCTAATAAAGATAAAAAAATAAATAAAAACAAAAATATGCAATATGAAATTGTTCCTGGTTAATAATTAAGTTGTTTAAGTAATAATGATCTCTATTACCATTCACTGTTCAAACTATGTAATTGTCCTGATTTCTACAATGTTTAATGACCATTACTGTACCATAAGCTGGACTTCTGATTCTCAATATCTTTAGTAGTGTAGTAAACAAAGACATCATAAACTGCTTTATGTAAATGGGTGGGAAACATGCTCCTAGATCTTAACATCCTAAAGCCTCCAATAAGCTCCTGGGTTGCTAAGTGCTTTGGGTCTTAGCCTTGGTTAATTTTTTTTATTTTTTATTGCTTAGATGGGTGGACGGACTCACAGCCCACCTGGTGTTAAGTGGTTACCGGAGCTCATAAACATCTACAACGTAAATGCCGCCACCCACCTTGAGATATGAGTTCTAAGGTCTCAGTATAGTTACAACGGCTGCCCCACCCCTCAAACCGAAACGCATTGTGACGTGATGGTATCTATTCGTGCGGACTCATAAGAGATCCTACCACCAGTAATTACGCAAATTATAATTTTGCGAGTTTGATTTTTATTACACGATGTTATTCCTTCACCGTGGAAGTCAATGGTGAACATTTGTTGAGTACGTATTTCATTACAGAAATTGGTACCCGCCTGGGATTCGAACACGGGTGCATCGCTCAACACGAACGCACTGGACGTCCTAACCTTTAGACCACGACGACTTGAAAAGTCGCAGTCGCAAAGGGCATGAAGTTCATTACTATACATTCAAAATAATTTGATTTTATTCCAAATCAATATTATATTAATCTACTTCATTTCATTTTTCACATGAGTTAGTTTATATTTTGTATTACAATAATAATTCATTAGATAATTATTGACACTGGCAGTAATGCAATCGTAAGAAGCCAGTTGCCTTGCTAAAAAAAGAATAAGAAAAAATCTATCAGTATATCTGGCAGCTTCCATGGCAGAGGTAGTCAACAGTGCCAAGCGTTAAGTACTATTTAATTATATACAAACTTTTATATTTTTTTTGTTTTTAATAAGACCTGACATATTTATTTGTGTAGATAATTTTAAATTTGTATAATTTTCTTTCTTATATGATTTTGTTGTGTTACATTTTAATTTAAGTTTTTTGTAATAATTACTACATACACTAGAATTTGTTCATGGTTCTGAAATGCATTTCTTTTGATACAACACCCATATCTCGTATCAATAAGCCAAGCTTTTACACTTATTAGACCACACCTGTTAAACCAATTTTGATCTCAAATATTAAGTATAATCTATGGTTGAAGTAAATGTAAATCACAATCCGATGAATAATTACGAGAAAACATGTCAATAAACATACTTATCTACAAATATATTATATTTATACATCTATAAAAAATTTATACATTTGTTCTAAAGTCCTAATAAATGATCGTAAGTGATTATCTTACAATTTCAATAGTATTAAATACATATGTGTCCAGTTAATAAACTTCCTTTTTTAAATAATGTAATAAAGCACAATAACCAGGAAGCCAAATAGAGTAGAACATTTTATTTATTTCATTACTACCAATTGTAATGAAAAACAGTTATAATACTAATCACCAACTTAAATTAATAAAACTTCCTTCCGACAATAACAGAAGTCAGACAGTTAATTATTCACCGTTGTAAAAAAAATATCGATTTTTATTAGGTTTTCGTTATTTGATAAATAATAAAAAAAAACACTGTCCACGATGCCTTGAGGAATGATAGCAGCTAATCGTGTCTTAACCTTCTGGAACATGACCTGGGAGACTAAATAGTTGTGATAGGTACGACAGTCTTATCCTTCAAATAGGGAACGCATGATTACTTCGCAGCGGAAATATATAGTTAACAACACACCCTACCACAAGTAAAATTAAGAACTGCTACTGTTATGAGGTATTAGCAGTAGCTTGGAATATCACTCTGCTAGCTGTTTCACCTAACAAATTATAATGAAACTATATTGGTTAGTTTTGCGTAACCGTATCCAGTGATGAATAAGTATCGGATCGGCTAATATTTTAATGTTATCGATAGCGTAAAAGTTAACCCAATTTTGCATGCAGTTTGAACAGCGCCCATAGCGGCAAACGATCCCATTCCATACAAATATGAGCGAACTATTACCCCATCGAGAACGTTAAAAAACTCTCACTAAGCGCACAGGACTCTGTTCTTACAAAGAAGATGTTTTAAGGAGTGTTGTGGTAGAAATTAAATTTCATTGTTCACGATTTCTTTATTTCACTTGTTTAATCCGCGAAGAACCTATTCACTGCGTAAATTAAAGAAAAGGAGAGACGATTTTTTTTTAAATTACCTACATTACTCTTCTACAAATACTCATTTAAGTTTTCCTCGCACTGGCTTGTAAAAAGACAGTAATTACCGCAGTTCAAAATAGAAGGATCTCAAAAAACTGGTTCTTTTACGTTTCGAAACAAAATCACTTTTTTAAATAATTTTAAGGGAATTTTACATTAATTTCCCCAAATGTATATTACAAATAACAGTCATTAGCAAAAAGCAAAGGTGTTTTCTCGTAGTGAATGCGTTTTCAAGAATTTAACCACTCAACAAATTTGCTAAATAATTTAAGTGCAACTTTAACAACTCTATCCCAAAAGCTAGGTTCTTCTTGTGCATCCTGGTTCGAAGCCGTCGGGTATTCATCGTCGAAGTTCTCTATCTGACGTTTTGCGCGAATAAAACGAATTCCTCCTATTTCATTTCTGTAAGCTGGAAGAAGTGACAACAAAATGTAGATTTTGCAAAGTAATAAATGTGACCACGTATTCTTTTTTTAAATATTTTTATCTAGATTAAAAAATGCATGCATACTGATATTCACTTTTTTAACACCTCTTGTATCTACTGGTGGTAGGACCATCTAAGCAATAAAAAAAAAAAAAAAAAATTGTGAGTCCGCACGGGTATGTACCACCACCCTGCCTATTTCTGCCATGAAGCAGTAATGCGTTTCGGTTTGAAGGGTGGGCAACCGTTGTAACTATAATGAGACCTTGGAACTTATATCTCAACATGGGTGGCGCATTTACGTTGTAGATGTATATGGGCTTCAGTAACCACTTAACACCAGGTGAGTTGTGAGCTCGTCCGCCCACTTCAGCAATAACAAAAAACAGCATGTATATGTAAATCGGAATACGGCACAATCGCTACAGCGGTAATGTTCTTGCCTATAATGAGACATGAGGTTCGGCTAACAGAAGAAAACAACCATAAAATTCACATTGTGTTTTAATATACTATTACGTACTATGTTCTTGATTTACGACGTCTGTTGGAACCTGAAAGTAAAATAGATTTATACAATGGTAATTTTTTTTTTCTGTATATCTTTTTACATCTAGTATCAAAACAGTGAAAATGAACAATGTGATCGATTATTGATATATAGTTTGGTCATTTCTTCAAAGCGAATAAGTATTAAATGCCACCTTTAACTTAACACAGTATCTACGTGCTCGTAACCACTTAGCACAAGAGTAGCTGTCTTTTTTTTTCCTACTTATTCTAGTAACCTCGAGGGGTTATTCTAGATTCACTGAACTAGTAGGTGAGCTCACGGGGCTCAAATCTGGAGTGTTGCTAACACTGACCGTAGCAAGAGCAGTGCTTCGCAAAATCTACCACCGGATCAGAAACGCGACCCACTGAGAAGATCCGGCGAGAAACTAGAAGTAGTGGGCTGTGTCTAAGGGTTAATTTACTCGTCGAGCCCTTCGTCGCAAGCGACGGGTTCGGCGAGGACGGTGACCGATGTAGCCGTCAGCCAGAGGGCATTTAAAGAAAACAGCAAATCTAATTTTTATGACAGCATTAAAATTCATTGAAATGAAAATCTCAAATGAATGACAAAAAATTACATATAACTTACACGGTCTTCCGTTGTAACATAACGCAGCAAAAACAATAAAACGACAAAACAGAGAACATGTGGACTGTTCGATGTCATGTCTCCGTTTACAATTGCGACTTTGAATCCCCATGACTATGAACTTGCTTTTAAATGAAGGGTGTGGTTTAAGTACGGTGCCGCGGAAATGATGACTGTGCAATCATGGGTGGGTATTTGATAAGTATATTAGCTACCGTCTATTGTCATGTTTGTACTGCGTCATGTATCGAAATTAAGCTCGTTATATTTACAACGCAGTTAAAGAATTTAGGTAATTTCCTCTCATCCGCGTCCGTAATGCGATTATTATTTTACAAAAAGTTTGTTTATAATGTAATTACAAAGAAATGTTTGCATTCATGTACCTAAACGAAGTATAAATTAAGAATGAACGCTACTTTGGCATTCGGTTCAAAGAATGTCGGCCTTAAAATAATTTTCAGTTACTGGGAGTCTTAGGGTTATATAGCAAAAAAAATACTTGTAGGTAGTCAATTTATTTCATGCTTACCTACGGAGCCGAAACGTGGACACTGACTGTGCGACTAGTCCACCAACTAAAAGTTACTCAGCGAGCTATGCTTGGTTTGTCATTGCGAGACCGACTACGCAATGAGGTCATTCGAGCAAAAACCAAAGTGATCGATATAGCTCGCAGAGTTAGTAAGCTGAAGTGGCAGTGGGCTGGTCACATATGTCGCAGAACCGATAACCGTTAGGGTAGACGTGTTCTGGAGTGGAGACCGCGAACTGGCAAACGTAGTGTAGGACGCCCTCCTGCTAAATGGAGCGACGACCTGCGCAAGGTAGCTAGCAGTAACTGGATGCGTAGAACCGAAGATCGGGTTCAGTGGCGAGCTTTGGGGGAGGCCTATGTCCAGCAGTTGACTGCCGCAGGCTGATGATGATGATGATGAATTTATTTCAATAACATTTCTTACTTAATTTTAAACTACAACACAACTACAGAACCCTTCATAGTCCGTAGTCGTACATGCACGTCGTTTTATTTATTTATTACATTATTATTTATTTATGTATTTTGTATTACAAGTCTTTCAAAAATAGGTATAAGTAATAGGTATATAGTATTTATGGAAATTTCGTGCGCGCCTGTACCATTTGATCTCATGCATGTTGGCGTGCTCCCAGTGTGACCTTGTCGACACAATGCAATGTTCCGCATGAGAGCCTGTGAATAAAACACGAGTCAATGAGAGTTTCATTTTGAAAATCGAATAGCCACATATTTTTGAAATCGATTAATTTGCTTCTGATTGAGTAGGTAAATGTGATGCCTAAATTTTTTATCATAAGAGTGCATCTGAATAAATTATGTGAATAGGATGGATCAATCACGAGTTATACCAGAGAATTAACTAAGACTTCAAAAAGACGAGACTCCAAATGACCTAAGTATCGGAGACATTCTCCTTGGATAGGAACACCCACATGGATTGAGCCGAATCCTGATCGCACCGGAGCCAGTCACCGTCGTCGCCCTAGACACGTCCTTACGGATCCATCAGATCCAATAACCCTTGCGTTAGACGTCTTCCGCTCTAGCACTAGGAGTAGAGACCCCGGTGACCGTACTCGTCGAACTCGGCAAAGAGTTCGACGTGCAACCTAACCTAAGCATCAGCCCGTTGAGTTTCTCGGCGGATCTCAGCGGGCAGCCTTGGAGGCGCTCGGGTAGCTGTTAGCAAATCCCGCCCCTTCTGGCTGAGCCCTTGCACGCCCTCCTGTCCTTGTGAAACTGGAAAGGCCCCAGGGCCACCAGTAAACTCTTAATCATAAAAAAATGGATTAAGCAACATATTATTACGTAAACTTTGAGGCTCATCATCACTAATCAGTCCCACAAAGAACGCCAAAATAATAAATTTGCTAAAACAACGAATTGAGACCTCTTATTTGAAATTTTCTACATGTTCGGTTCTTCGACTTCGTATGTTTCATATCTGCTAATCTTAGATTTATTTTTATCTATTAACCACTTAGTATTTAAAAGTTTGAATTTGAATGAGTAATTTATGCTTTAGGATAGGCACCTTACACTATTTTAGCATTTTAATTCAAAGGATTCGGAATCTGTACAAACGTAATTTGAATAATAAAAAAATCAATATATTGTGTAAAATAATATATTATTACAACGAAGTGAGGTGAATGACATTCTGATGTAACATACACAATTTTTATGTATCAGTATTTTATCGATCAAAATTACAGATAACATTTATTTCAAAAAAAAAGGAACCAGTTTCAATGGCACTATTTTAGTTCACTTTGACTTGTTCGTATTCAATCTTGTTTAGTTAACGTAATTGACAAAATACTATTAAAATTAAACGTGAAAATTACGAACACATTTTTTTTTTATTTGTTACTTTTATATGAGTATGTGCTATATTGCAGTGTTATCATTACAGAATACCATGTTTAAATGTATTATAACATAATACTATGTTAACTTTTATATATTATGAAGGAAACGAAAATAAATCGCAACTTCAATACTGTTGATACCAAACTTGAGTTTGAGTGTAAAATGTAGAGTAAACGTAAACAGTCAAAATTATTATTACAGAACAGAGTCAAGCTGTGTGTGATTAGTGAGAGTTTTTTAACGTTCTCGATAGCGTAAAAGTTAACTCAAATTTGTATGGAGTTGGAACGTTTGTCTGCGTTTGCCGCTAGAGGCGCTGTTCGCGCGCATATATGAGTTAACTTTTACGCTATCGAGAACGTTAAAAAACTCTCACTAAGCACAGCGGTTTGCATTATGCCGTGTTTAAGAGAGTTGCGAATATCGAATCAGACGAGCGTACCACAGTACGCACCACATGAACCTTGCTCCTTCATACAAATTGTAAACGCAGAAACTGCAAAAGACATTTTTGTTTTAAGAAGCTTTTTAGTGACGTACTGAAGTATAACACAGCATAATTCGATATTGATTAGTCACCGGAGGTGTTCTTGTACTGCTCGTACTTACAATATTTGTTCAGTTATTACCTCACTGCTTTCATGGCAGTCGGGCCATTATGATTGAAACTCAATCATAACACAAAACGATTATCAATATTATTAACTAATCACCGGTCGATCGTGACGACACGCGAACTCAATTAACTTCACGTTATACACAAACGAATAACTTAGAAAACATGTCCAACCATTTTTAATTATGAAACGAATTAAAAGTGAGGAAATTAGAACTCATGCCTCAAGGTGGGTGGCGGCGGCATTTACGTTGTAGCTGTCTATGGACTCCGGTTACCACTTAACACCAGATGGGCCGTGAGCTCGTCCACCCATCTAACCAATAAATAAAAAAAAAACTTAATTCTGAACATTTCCCTATGCCCGTTCTATGGGTATTTTGTTTAACCAAAACACGTTATCCGTCTTTCAAGTACGAGCAGTACTAATACATATATTACTAGAGCTTTCTAACGCAAAACCATTACGAATCGACCTAAACAATATTATTAGTATGTCCGGACAAACAACAAGCGACAACTATAATAATATAATTATTAATAGTAATAACATAATTATATGACATTTTAAGTGCTCTAATAATAATATTATTATTATTATTTTAATACTTATAAAACGTACAAACGAAACGCATACTACTAAACGTTATTAATAAATTAATAAAAGAAAACAACGTAGGAAGTATTAACGACTTACAATTAAATGCAATAAGGCAATTTAATTTGCGCCGTACATAATATAAGAACACGTTTTATATTATTTTTAATTAATTAATGTATGTATTATTATTAACTAAACGTATGTATATAAATATGCAAGGAAATTAGGAAACATGTTGTATCGTTGTATTTAGGTGGGATACATCACTAGTATATTATTAGCTATTGTAATCAGTGGGAATGGTGGAATATTCAGTCGGGTTTGTTTACTTACTATTGTCATTCGCTAATCGGGGTATAGAAATGAAAAAAAAAAAAAAAACGATATAAACTAAATTATAAATGCAGTTGTAGTGTTGCGAAAAACAAAGGTTTTCCGTTAAAATTAATCAAGCAAGAAAAATGGCTCCGCTTTAATAATATTTTCATGGTACTAATTATTATAAACATAGGTCACTCTATACGAATTGATATTGGTAGGTATTCGAATCCGGTTCTTCTCAGGACTGTGGCTTTTTTTTGGAACCGGTGGTAGAGTTAACATTGTTATTTATATTTTGACATTCAACAAGCGTGTCATACTGACATCTAAGTTGAAATAAATGATTTTGAATTTGAATGTAAACCGAAAAAAAAAAATGCTTGCATATTTTTTTAAAATCAAACTAAAATTTCAGTAACGCAATTACATACATCTGATATTCCGCTTGTAAAATTAGATAAACAATAATACTACGATATCCTAGAGCGAAACATCAACTAGGTAATATTAAACTAGCAAGGCGTTCCTCTATCGATGCTACGGAAGTATCTTTATAAATGACCACGATAATATATTATAGGATTCATCTACGTACCCATATCGATTCGATATTAAAATAATTTAACATCTATTTATTATACTATACGGTATTTAGTACAAACAAATGTGAGGAATAAAATTATAAAACTATATTTAGCTTGAAATTCATCGCTATATTAGTATTAACATTAGCTTCTTTTTTTTAATTTAAAAGACGACAGAACTGTTAAAATAAAAAAAACACGCAATAAAAACCTTAAGGCCGCGTACTGGTGTTGCTGTTATTAAAAATATAGGAATATATGAACAAGCGGTCTTTTTGAATTAATTTACTGGTTGGATTTTTTTTAAATATGAACATGAACAAGTGATCTTTGTTGATTAAGAATTAATTAGAATACTTTGGGTTTCCGCATAGTAATCGTTTATACTTATTTATTTCGCAAATATTATTAGACTTACCCGTAATCAATTAAAACTTCAAATGATTATTTTGTCTATATAATCAACTGTACTTAACATGTATTTTTTCAAAATCATTGGCCGGTAATGACAAAAATCGTCGCATGAAAAAATCAGAATTCAGATATAAACATGAAAATGCATACATAAAGTACGCAGTCTTCATCAAACCAATAATTCGCATTATTATTGTTTCACTGTTATCATATTATTATTATGACGCAAAATATCTAATAATAACTTTTTAAAGTCACAAATATGTTTTAGTATGTATGAACAATCTCAATAGAATTTGACAAATTTATAGAGCCGTAAATGAATGAAGAAATTGTATAAGCACAGGAATAGTACTGTTTTTGTATCTCATATTAGTACGTTGAATTGCAAGATTGCAAATGTAAAGCTGGCGTTGACTTGTACAAGTATATTTTAATGGATTATGTTATTACGAATTTTGCGTTAACTGTCAATCGTCAGTTCAAGGCTTGATACAAAAGACATTTTAAAAAGCGTACTGGTATGTTAGGAATAACATTAGGATACCTTTGCGTGTGTCAAGAACCGGGGAGGATTTTTTCAGTGTTGCCATAATCGGTTACGAAAATGTAGCTCGTATTTCAGACTGTCCTTCGGTAAATGAACTCTTAAGGGCTAAAATTACGATAAGAATACTATTTAATAGGTTCCGTCGGTGTGGTGACGGGCGAGGGCGGAGCGCCATGACGCGCCAAGATGGCGGCCGGTTCGCTGGAAAAGCACTCGAAGCTCGTGTCTAGGAACATTTCCTGCAGGAAACGCCGGGCGCACAACATGTACGTGTCGCGGGACAACAGCGCACACACGTCCGAGTACACGCACGGGCTGCGGAAGACTTCAGAGTGCTTCTGCTTGAGCGACAGCAACATCGAACGGGTCTGCAAAAAATATATATACTGTTTATATAATATATATCACCAATGAAAACAAACCATCCATATTTTATTATTATTGCATTACTTCATTGCTTAGAAATGGCAAAACTCGCCACTGGGGACGTTAACCAATTAATGAAACGGTTACAAGAATTTATAAATAGACATTTAATTCTAATATAACGAAAATACTTTCTTTAAAAGATATTAAGATATTTTTTTTAATTTTCTAACTGTTCAAAATTTCCCACCGAAATAAATATACGTACAACCTGACATTTATTTTATCTTTCAATGAAATTCTTATTCCATTTCAATTTCATGTATTTCTTATTACAAAATATTTAACCTTAATGTTAATTTTGAGCATAATAATATGTGAAACGAATTACCTGTTTCAAATGTATAGGATTGGCCATAAGATGCACTTGACGCAGCACCTCAGTTTCGGGAGAGTTAGAACTTCTTTCAACTGATGCCGTTATGCTTGCGATGGGACTTTGAGGCTCCCCACCACTCGTACTGGTTTTGTCTAATGCTGTTATAAAATAAGTACGTTTAAAACGTGTATTTCGTGAATTATTGTAGAACAAAATAGCACGGGTGAATCTAGAGCGGTGTTTCCCAACGTGAGGCCCACGCCCCACAAGGGGGCAATTTAATAATTAAGTGGGACAATCGCACTAAATTTATATAGAAAATCTGTATTAAAATTATTTTGAATTTGAATTTCAGTTTTTTATTATATGTGTTTGTATATGTTTTGAAATATCACTTACTGTGTTTTGATAAATATTTCATAGTGATTTCTTCCTAAAACCTATCATTTATGTTTCATAAGTGAACAAATAATTTTTTTAATGTTAAAACATTTCGTATGGGGGCATAGAAATTTTAGAAATTTTACAGTGGGGCATGAAAAAAGGTTAGGAAACACTGATCTAGAAATTTGAAATTAAATTAAACTTCAATAAAATTAAATAAATACCCGCGAAAAATGCCTCACGTAGTTCGTACGAGGACGGCGGCCGCGTACGTACGCACGCTAGACAGTTGTTCGACGAGTGTTGCCATTTGAACTTAGCAACGTTCTCGCTCAACGGTACATCCTTCGTCGAGGTGACGTTATCTTCGGTCAGTGTGCGGTCACTGGAGTCTCCGGTCTCCGGCACATTGGCGTTAGCGGCAGAGCTGTCTTCATCATCGCTCAGCTGATTTATGTTTTCTTCGGGCACCGCTTCGGTTACGGTGTTGATTCCGACATTTTTTACACTACTCACGATGTTCTTGCGTTCGACATTTGAGACTTTCGTGGTTATCGTCGATTCTATTCCAGGGTCTTGTTTCGTTAGCTTCGTAGAATTCGACACGCCGCTTGCTAGTGACGTTTTTAAGGCACCTGAGATTCCATCTGCGCCAAGAAATGCTTATTGTTTTAAGAATAGAATAAAGTTTTAAAAAAAAATATCGAAAGATTAAAAAGAAATACATGCCTTTAGAATTTTTAGATAAATCCGGCGTAGTGCGATATTTTTCGACGCTAGCAACACTCGTGTCAGCGAGGAAGGATGATATACGTCCGCGATTAGAATCGTTTTTGTCTGTGTCGTCTTCTTTGATTTCGTCATTTCTATGAAAAAAAAAAACTTATTCTTTTGGCGGGCTTAACGCAGTTACCGCGTCATGTACAATGAAAAACAATACATTAGACTAAGCTCCAATAACAAATAAGGACGCTTTTTTCAGTCATTACACTACTGGCACGCTATTATGGCCGTTGTCCACTCATGAAGTTTCGTATTAATAGTAATTACATTTGAAGGAACAAATTGCTGTTCTTAATTAACAATAGTGACGTGCAGTTAGTCATAAAAAATTATCGAATATATAATACATTTAGGACACAACACTTCTTTATTACATTGATTCCTAAACTATATAATATATAAGGGGCCTGCGAACATTTATTGTTTATTTTTATAAGATTTTAATTATTGGTATTTACCACACAACTCGGCATTTGTTTTACGATCGTCACATAGGATCGCTGGCCATACAACTACTACCTCCGCCAAACTCGCGTCAATGCTTTATGCAAAACAAACAGTTTCGACTTAAAAACTTATCAATTTCATTATATTTTTTTCGAGAATAAATTTACATTTCACATCACTATTGTAATATGTCAAAACGGCCATCATAGCGTGCCGATAGTGTACAAATAAAATAGTGATGAAAACATACTCAGGGAAGATGTCTAGTAGATCGCGCGGCAGACAGATGCCGATGTAGGGAGGGGTGTGCGGGGGCGGAGGGGGAGGGCGGGGCGCGGCGCGGCGCGGGGCCCACTCCGCCCCCTCCACGCCCGTCTCGCACACCGCCAGAGGTCGCCAGTCGTACTCCAACACACTATACGTAGTAAAACAAAATTCTTGTCAGTACATTTATCTATACTTGGGCCATTACCAACGTGCGAACTGAGTCATAAAACATTACGATATTGATAAAGGGATGCCGCTCGGGATGTCGTTCAGGTAGTCAGATGACGTGGTCGTTGATGACTGGTACATGTCATTTGTAGGTTGTAAGTGTTTGTGAAAATTGTGTTAGTTATGTATCATTAGACAATCCCACGCGAACCATGGAAGCATTATCCGATAACTTTACTTTGTTAAAATTAAAAGGTGATATTCACGCCCAAACTTGTTCGGTTATTCATAATGTGTTGATAGTGTTTAACGAATTAAAAACCTGACCCGAAAAAATTTCTTTTTTAAATTTAAATAAATATGTGTATGAAACACACAACACTAGAAGTGTGAGCGAGAGATTCGATATACCTTTAAGTGTGAGCGAGAGATTCGATATACCTATAAGTGTGAGCGAGAGGTTTGATAAAAATGAGTTGTGGCTCAGTTCGCACGTTTGTAATGGCCAAACTTTTCTTCGGAGCTGTATGGTGACCGTGTGGACGAAAATTCAGAAAACAGTGCAACTCCTAATACGGACGATGTAATAGCGAAATCAATTTGAGTCTCCTACCTAAGTTTGGCCATTCGTTCCTTGGATGACTTCGTTCTGTCGCGTAAAGATGAAAACGGCTTCGATCGCAGGTTCGTGTCGGAGAGCAGCCAACTCAAATCGTCAATTTCACTTGAACACGACGCGGCACTTTCGGATAAGTGTGGTCTACAAAAGAAGATTATATTATAAAAATAATATACAAAATAATTATTAAAAAAAATCTACCGAATTCCTCTCAGGACGGTTTTTCAGAATGGCTAGTTATATTGTTTAAATTTACAAATGTTATATGGATAGTTTACATTTACAATTTGACTCGGTAAATGACTTTGCAATTGATAACTAGGTTTTTTTTTCATTTTTTCTAGCAGGAGAATGTATGCAAAGTTTTGCTGTTTGTATCCATCAATGATTTGGATTTAGATTGGACTCGGTAGGTGGCGCTGCAATCAAATTCCAATATTTTTTTTCTGGACAAAAGAACGCCCAGTTGATAATAAAAACCTTACCGTCTGTTGAGGGACTTCAAAGTCGCATATCCGGTCATATCCATTTGTGTCGGAGGTGAATTAGTCACTTCGGGTCCAGAAAAACCTGTAACCAAACGTTACGTGATATTTCAGTCAAAATCATTAATATATTCTATGTGCACTGCATAAAATACTCACTGGATGTTGAGGTTCGGCGTTGTAGCTCCGGTATTTTTGGTCTCTGATTAGCGATAGTTCCTTTCGTACCGTAGAGACTGGACGAGCTCGGTATCGGACTTAGAGTTAAAACTCTATCACTGAAATTTATACACGAAAATAGAACCTTAATTCGTTCGATGGTTAGTTTTCATAGATGCAACGAAATTTAAACTCACGGCATAGTGTATTTTCCTAAGAACGAATCACAGCTGCTCACGCCGCTGGTACTGGACTCGCTAGTGTTCCTCACTCGCCCTTCGTGAGCGTGCTCCAAGGAATTCATTCTGCCAATCAGGAGCCTATTCTCGGCCGCGGGCACGCGAATGACCCCCGGACGGTCGTAGTTCGAACAGTCCCGTAATATATCAACGGTTCGAGACTCCGATAACATCGGACGATCGTGCGAGCTAGAACAACCTTGCGAGGGGAGAGTGTGAGATTTTCTTTTGTCCTGTTCCTTGCGCGTATCCACGATCGCCAGTTTCCCGTCGACGACATCGCGATTGGCCTGTTCCGATATCGAACCGACTTTAGTCGCATGTTTATAGTCTGACTGAAGGCTTTCGGTCGCGCTTTGATCCGTGTGATCCGAATGCTCGCTAGTTTCCGTGTCGTATGCGTTCGCGCGATAATCGGGCGATGTTACCGAATAATACGAGCCGTTTTCGTACATCGAATATATCTCATCGGGTATCACGGGAAACTGATCGTGTCTAGTGTGTCTCACGCATAGCCAACCTGAATAATAATAATAATAAAAAGACATTAATATCCATCGAGATCGAGCATATTTCGTCTTTTCGCATTAAAAGGGTACAATTTGCAAAAATATTCGAAATTGAGTTAATATGCGGAATCATTTGGTATCACCAGTATTTTTCTCATAAATACTGTCAAAAGAGTGTAGTTTTTTTCTTTTTTTTAATTTACCTATGTTTTGACTACTATTAACAAAATTAATACATTTATCTTACTTTAAAAGACAAATAATGTAACTGGTAAAAAATAAAAAATAAATGTTGCAATGATGATTAATATTAAAAATATCACATGTTTTAAACCTTTAAAACGCTCTCCTGTAAAATTAGTAGGTTTTGAGATTATACAGTTTTAATGCGAGAAGATGATTTCATTTACAAATCTCGAACATACCTAATTCGGTTAATAGGTTCGCTCCGTCATAGGTACATCCAATAAGGCCGAGAACATAGAACGCAGTCGCCCGTATCGAGTATACGGGACAATACTTGACGAGGCGCACGACATGAACCAGTACGGAATCCTCTAGATAACCGTTGCTCAAACTCATGAGCAGTTGCAGTCCAGAGGGCGCGGTCGCGGTGTTGCCCAACGCCCATAACGAAGCTTTAAGATCAGCGATCTCTTGTTCGGTATTACATTTCTTACGCTGTAGTATCTGGAATGAATTTTAAATCCTCGATAAATCTTTATTTCAGAATACGTTTTGTACAATTCAAATAAACAAATAATTTTTTGTTCGGGCCGCGCGCCGCCCCTCTTAGGTGGTCCTCGCGCCTAGGGGGGCGCGCGGAGTATGTGGGACCTGACGATCTGCAGATGAGAGCAGACAGCGGGCCCAAAGATATTTTTAGTGCCTTACCGCACAAAACGACTCCCCTGTACTCATACACCCGACATCCGATCTCCGCCCGGGCTCAGAACCCGGTCAGATTAAAACAAATAAACAATACTAATCTAACTTTGTTATGCCATAACTTTAAAAATTACAAACGGGGCGATTGTCTTTCAATATATTTTAGTTGTAATACGTATACCAGTTAACTTACTAGTTGACGCAGTTACTATTTTCTTCATTTGTAAAATTTAAAACATATAATACGTCCTGATTCTACCTTATTATAATTGCTGCTCCATTGTTTCACTTCTATTTCAATGATTTCACAAAGTATCATAATATGTTGCATAGTTGATAGCTTAACATAATAAGAAATCAATTATATTGGTAATCTATACTAATATATAAATCTACAGTGGTTTTTACGGATGTTCCGTTATAATACGCGGACGGGTACAACTAGTCGTGTATAAAACAAAACATAATCAAACCAATTGAGTATTCAATCTCATTAATACTTGAACAGCACTATTCACATACATTCCAGATAGTTGTATACAGGAGTTTTAGTACAAATACCTTGTAGTGCGTGAGGAGCGCGGCGTGCAGCAGATGGCGGGCGCGGGGGCGGGGCGCGAGCGCGGCGTGCACGTGCGGCGGGACCCGCGCCGAGCGCCGCGACCGCGCGCCCCGCCCCCCGCCCCACTCGCTCACCGCCAGCGCCTCGTGCGCGCCCGCTTCCACCACCCGCGTGTACCTGCACATCGCGCACTATTTAACCCTCAGACACAGCCCACTGAGTTTCTCGCCGGATCTTCTCAGTGGGTCGCGTTTCCGATCCGGTGGTAGATTCTGCGAAGCACGGTTCTTGCTAGGGTTTGTGTTAGCAACGTCGTCAGGTTTGAACCCCGTGAGNTCGCTCACCGCCAGCGCCTCGTGCGCGCCCGCTTCCACCACCCGCGTGTACCTGCACATCGCGCACTATTTAACCCTCAGACACAGCCCACTGAGTTTCTCGCCGGATCTTCTCAGTGGGTCGCGTTTCCGATCCGGTGGTAGATTCTGCGAAGCACGGTTCTTGCTAGGGTTTGTGTTAGCAACGTCGTCAGGTTTGAGCCCCGTGAGCTCACCTACCAGTTAAGGTTACGCTGATACAGCATCTCAAGGCTCTCAGCTTAGGTAGGAAAAAAAATGCGCACCATACTGCATTGTGAGTCGCGGCGGACCGATCCGTGCCCCATACAACGGACGGCGATTTATGCGATTTATGGAGGGCAAAGGTAAGGAGAACGGTCTCATATGGGAGAAGCTTGAAAAAGTGTCTCACTTTCAGCACTAAATAACAGTTCAAAAATCCTTCAGAATGACGCTAGCATAGGCATAGGGTATGATATGAATTGAGCAGTTGTTAACTGATTGAAGTATGCTGAGTTAAGAAATTTAATATATTTAATGACTAGAGTAGGAAGTTAGTGACAAGAACTCACATGTTTACGTAGTGCCAACCAATTTAGTCAATATAACCTAAAATTATTGCTGTGGTAAAACGTGGAGACATCGACTGCATTTTGTTATCAGCTTTAAATAAAATAGTTTTTGTGATTTTGTAGTGCTTACAGTTCTTTCGTCCTTTTTTATTTCTCTATCTTATTTTAATAGCGCTCACCCCTTTTTTTTAATTTACCCGGTTGCTACTGTAGACCACCCTTATTTAGCAGATTTTAACGGACACTTTTTCACACACAGAGACGGTTATACTTACCTCTACCCTCCATACGGCGATTATTTCTTCTTTTTCTTTATTTTTTGGCTGCGGCACGATTTGTGCATTAGCCAGCGTCAATTATAATTCGCCGATTTAATTATTTATAGTTTATGAATAATAAAAAACGAAGGAAACTTAATCCCACTAGGTGTTGGCACAGCTAATTTTTCTCTTCCATTCTCTTCTATCGGCCGTCATCTCAACACTCACTTCTCTCTTTCTCATATCGTCATTCACACACTCCATCCATGTTTTCTTCAGTCGACCTTTTACTCTACCTTACACTAACATTTCCATACATCTCCTAGTCACATAAATCTCAGTACGCATCACATGTCCATGCATAGTCAAGGCTATCAGCATTGAGTAAGAAAAAAAAACCTTTTGATGTTTGAAATTTATGATCAATACATATTTAATATTTTTTTAAATATCCTGTATAACTCAGTGCAAATTTAAATGAAACATTACCGGTAATTATACGATTTAGTCCAAAAGTCCAAATGTTTTTTGAGGAAGGCCATCGACTTTGCGTCCGCGGCTTGTGCGGCCGCCGTCACTTCTAACGTCAGCCACAGCAGGTACCCCCGGTCCCCCACGGCAGACAGATCGTACGTTGCGGGATCCGCGTTTTTATTCAAACGACAATTCTGGCATAACGTTTCCCTCATCGGCATTAATTTTTCGACGTATATCTGAAAAGTATAAGTACCATTAACAATAATAGAGTCAAGGATTGAGTGGACGAGCTGACACCCACCTAGTGTTACTGGAGCCCATAGACATCTACAACGTAAATGCCGCCACACGTCTTGACGTAGTTATAACGGCTGCCCCCCCCCCCCCCCTTCAAACCGAAATGAATTACTGCTTCACGGCAGAAATAGGCAGGGTGGTGGTACCTACCCGTGCAGACTCACAAGATCCTACCACCAGTAAGTTGTTTATTTAGAATTTATTCGAATTATTTTTTTACACTTACAGGAACACTGAACGCTTCCTCTAATATAGACAGGGCCACTTTGACGACACCCTTGAATTCGTCTTTCATCTGACCCACCAACATCTGCAGAAACCAAGTCTCCATATCGACACCGCTATTTTCAATTTCGTCCTTCTGAATTGAATTCGATTCTTCGGTGTTCTTCTTCAACTTAGTCTTTCGTCGGACCAATTCTTTGGACTTCCGAGAAGCTCTCATGAGCACGTTCAGAAACTGGGTAGCGTACAGTCTTGACGCTTGAATGCTACATGTCAACGTTTTCGAAAGTATATCGCGAGGATACGAATCGAGGGTGTAGTCCAAGCTTGATATGATGAGTTTTACGTAACAACTGTGATGAGTTTTCGTTGACAGTTCCAAAAGGCTGCAGAATTAAATAATGAAATAATATTAAAAATTTTAGTTAATTTTTATGTGATTTTTTTTAAACTACTAGACTAATTCGCTGCTTTTCCTATTTACTAATTCACTATTTTTTATTATTACAGAAAACACAAAATACAAGGATCCTGTGATATACACTAAAAAGGATTCGCACCAATTATATGTAAGATTATGAAAGCAATGATTCAAGCAGATCTATGTGCTTAGTGCGAGTTTTTAAACGTTCTCGAACGCTAGAAGTTATCTCAAATTTGTATGCAGTTAGATCAGCACCCCTAGCGGCAAATGTAGGCAAACGTTCCAACCCCATAAAAATTTGGGTAAATTTTTACGCTATCGAGAACTTTAAAAAGCTCGCACTAAGCACACTGAACGCATATTTATATCGTATTCATTGGCTTTTAAATTGTTCGCGTCTCAGTTGAATTATAAACTACTCAATTTATAACTAAATGAATTTTGATTTTTAACAGTAGTCAGCGGTATTGTTGATGTCCTTGAGAGAAAACAAGTTTAGAAGACTATTCTGATATGCAAATTTATAGTTTTTTTTTTATTGCTTAGATAGGTGGACGAGCTCACAGCCTACCTGGTGTTAAGTGGTTACGTGAGCCCATAGACATCTACGACGTAAATGCGCCACCCACCTTGAGATATCAGTTCTAAGGTCTCAGTATAGTTACAACGGCTGCCCCGCCCTTCAAACTGAAACGCATTACTGCTTCACGGCAGAAATAGGCAGGGCGGTGGTACCTACCCGCGCGGACTCAGAAAAAGTCCTACCACCAGTAACAACAGTGAAATTCTTATACTCACTTTTCATAGAGCCCAGTTTGTTTAAACAGCTTCAATCCTGCGTGAGAATGGCACAGCTGCCCGATGAACAAGAAGTACATCTGACACATTGTGTTGCACATGTGCTGCGGACTGAACAGGCACTCGTGCGCTTTCACTCCGGTCTCGATCGCTTTGATTTGATTGCTTACGTCTAAGAATAAATCTTCTAGAAGTCTATGACAATCGGCCTGGGAACGAAAGAGGCGTTTTTTCGTATGTAATAGGTTGGGGAAAATTCGCATTTTTTTTAAAAATTCACATCATTTTTTAATATAATTTATTTACATTTAACTAAAGTATGTAGGTACTATTTTGTTCGATAACTTTTTGCCATCTTGTAGGTAGGAACATGATCCCATTGCTATAGAAATTTTGGGGGTTCTGTTCAAAATACCGCGACAATTGGTTTTGGTAGTCCTCTCGTGATGTTAACCTGACACTGCCTAAAGAATTCTGAAGAGACCGAAACAGGTGAAAATCTGAAGGTGCAAGGTCAGGACTATACGGCGGACGCATAAACACCTCCCAGCCAAGCTCTCTTAATTTTTGCTGAGTGGCTAAAGATGCGTGAGGTCTAGCGTTATCATGATGAAAAACCACACCCCTTATTAAAATCGAATATAAATACTAATACTATTAATGTTAGGAACTTTATTTTTTTTCTAAATGATACAAAAAAATCAAACACCAACATAATTAAATTTAACCTACAAATTAAAGAGTTAAATTATATAAAAAAGCAATTCTTTTTACTATCATTAAATGATAATAATCGCAGAGTAGTATGTCAATGGTTTCCACATAAAATGTTATAGACACTTTAACACAACTTACATCGTTATGCCGCAATAGATGCCTGATGAGCTGACAGCCGGCACGTGTGGCAGAGTGACCGTAACACGTGCTCGACAGATCCATGTGTGAATATTTATTTGAAGACGGCTTCAGATAGTTTACAATACGAGTCGCCCAAGCCTTGTGTCCGCTGTCGTTTAAATTGAAAAACGGTGTAGTATCATTTTCCTAAAACAAACAACAAATAGGTACAGATTAAAATGATGAAACACAATGAAACAAAAAAAAATGGTGCGCGTGAAAGAAGTGAAACTTCTTTTGCGGAATGTATAATAGTAATGTGCTTTTCTTCCTTTCCTTCATCCTTTAATAAAAAATCGCATGTAACAAGAAATGCTATGTATAAGAGAAACGACCTAGCTCGCTTTATCCTTTCCCTCCCTCCACGGTAGAGTGGTTCGCGAGACGCTCTATTTTCTCACTCTCACTCTTCCTAAAATGTATCTTTTCTCTCTAGCTATAACGAATCTATCGCGAGTTAAATTATACTCTTAACGCACCTAAAGAAGTTTGATTTCAAAAACTTCGAACGTTACCTTTAAAATAGTTCTTATGATTTCCCAATTCCAAGTATTTCCGTCTTTGTTCTGCATGACCAAGGTGGACCGGATCAAACTGTCGCTGTCTCGCTCGAACAAATTGAAAAACTTGGCCGACTTGGCGACCTTGCTTACGGCAGCACTAGTTCGCGAAGTTACGCTTTTACTTTTAACCAGCGCACTGATGTTTCTGTTGGTGACGTCATTTCGGGAGCCGACGCTGTGCCTTTGTTTCGTTTCGTTCTCGTTGTCCGATTCGTTCAGCAGTTCTATGCTGTCGTTTTTGTGAATGCCGATCTCCTGTCTCGGTCTTATGTTGGCGTTGTCCTTCTCTTTCCGACTCTTGGCGGCGTCTTCGTTCTTTTCCTTGAACGCCCCGCTGCAGTACTGAATGATGTGGTCGAGGAACAGGCTGCTGCTGGCGGGTCTCGCTTCGAGCATCGCGTGCAGTTTCCGCAAGGCGGCCACCGCTGCCAGGGCTTGAGGCTTTCCGTTAGACGCCTGAGACATTAGGACGGGTAAGGCGGGCGTGATGTTACATATCGGAGGAGGCAGGAACAAGTGTACTAAATGCAGCAGCTGGCCGAGTAGAACCGTAGCGCGCACCGATATAAAAGTGTCGCTCGTCACGATCACTTCAGCTAACCCATCCAGTAGACCGACCTAGAATTTAATTGTATACTATAATACTGCTGTAAACATTAAAAAAAAAATTGTATAACGCGAATAGGGTTGTACCTCTAGGAAACATTGAAGTAATAGAGCTAAGTGGTTTTCCGTAATATCGGGTCCCGTAGCTGCGAGATGAGGTAGTATTGCGATGCCTTCCGCGGCAACAAATCCTTCATTAAGCCGCCACGTATCCTAGAGACATTACAAATATAAATTTCGTGTAAGTTAGATGAAACTTTGATAAAACCAACAGCATTATGTTAAAATTAACCTGAAAGTCTGAAGGGTCCACAGCGTCGAGCGCGACTGAGATCTCATCTGTCCATTCAGGTTGTGGTAGCCCTACTAATTCGTATAGCAAATCCAATATTGCTTTCTGTAATATAACACACATACAAACAATAAATGTTAACTATGAACCATACAATTAATTCCCTTATTCAAAACCAATCAACTGTGTACTTAAACCATTTTTATGGTTTACCATAAATACATAATATATTATATTGCATAGACTAGTGAATGAGCTCACGGCCCACATGATGTCAAATGGTTACCGGAACACGAAGACATCATAACGTATTTACCGCTATCCACCTTCAGGCATAAGGTTCATGTCTCAATTGTATATAGCTGTCTCACTTTTGAAACCAGGACGCATAAATAGTTAGCGGCAGAAATACACTACCCATGCGGGTTCACAATGAATCTGAACATATGTTAAGTATCATTAGAAAAATTGATACCTGTATGCGGTTTTGAACACCGACATAGTAGTATCGTTCCATATGAGTGCATCAATCGACTTATCCTTTAAGCCACGACCATTTCAAAATTATTAAACAGTTAATTTGATTCTGGCACTTACCCGAACTTCAAGACGAGGTAAATATAGAGCAGCAACAAGTGATCGTAATCCCCCAGCACTCGATGGGTGACAAAAGTGTAACAACCCTGGCCAACTCCTTAAAACGCATAGCAACGCCAATCTACTGCAGGTGAACCGCATCTCTCTCTCATCCCTATAAAGAAATAAGTCTTTTAGGTTTCAATTGTAGTGCCAACAATGTTTGAGCCGAACACTGATGCTAAATACCCAGTGATTCACAACATGGCCTGTCCTGTTATTCCTAGCTATATCATCCACAGTCAGTAATTGATTTTTTTAGCTATTGCTTTAATTATTATTTACTAAAGGATTTTAAAAAATTACTGCGATTATTTTTTTAGGTTGCATTAGTTAAGAGACTAGACTAGGAGATTTTATTTTCCAAAGAAAACTTTACATTATTCCTGTCATACCCGTCGGTTGCGACGAAGGTATCTACAAGTAAATTGACCTACAAACAGCCCACTGAGTTTCTCGCCCGATCTTCTCAGTGGGTCGCGTTTCCGATCCGGTGGTAGATTCTGCGAAGCACGGCTCTTGCTAGGGTTTGTGTTAGCAACGTCGTCAAGTTTGAGCCCCGTGAGCTCACTAATAGTTAAGGTTACGCTGAAATAGCCTCTCAAGGCTAATCTCAGTTTAGGTAGGAAAAAAAAAACAATTATTAGCTTTAATTTGCACCATTGTTTTGATTTGTCTGGAAAGTGAACGGCTAATATCCATTTTTATAAGAAGCTTATAATAAAAACCTGGTGGAATCTGTAGGCGCTGAACGGAAGTGGAAGTCACAGTACGGTGCAGCTAGATGCGTCAGACAGGCTGTGGTGAGGCGGGCGGCACGTCGCGGGCCCGGTCGGTCTAACACGTGCAGGAGAGCACCGCACAACGCCTCCGCTTGTCGCGGGGTCGCGCATTCGGCCAGCTGGCGGGACACGGCACTGGCGCCGCCACACCACACCCACAGCTCCGGGTTGACAACGCCTGCCACACATAAATTATTATTTTTGAAGTGAAACTTCTTTAGAATCGTTGTGCTTTCAAACTCCATGAAACGAAAAAATAAGTCCATAGACACAAACACAAATGAATAGGATTCAGCCGGCGAGAGAATGAGATAGAACACATTAGACATTCTCGGTCTCTGCTTTGTTGTTCTCTTTCTCTTCGTAGCATCCCCACTATCGTATACTAAACATTGTCCATATGTATGCTTCTGTGTAGTGGGATAGTCAGTATATCTATATCTTATTTATAAGTTTCACTTCTACCGTGTGTGACATGAACACACACATTTTTTATTTTTTTTATTTTTATTGCTTAGATGAGTGGACGAGCTCACTGCCCACCTGGTGTTAAGTGGTTACTGGAGTCCATAGACATTTACAACGTAAATGCGCCACCCACCTTGAGATATAAGCTGTAAGGTCTCGCTATAGTTACAACGGCTGCCCTGCCCTTCTAACTGAAACGCATTACTGCTTCACGACAGAAATAGGCAGGGTGGTAGCACCTACCCGTGCGGACTCACAAGAGGTCCTACCACCAGTAAAGTACCGCCAGTAAGAACATTACTTAGATGCTTCTCGATCAGCATTGTTACTTTTTGATATCCACAATTTGTAAAACAGTGAACATTAGCATTCATGTTATGCGCTAATAACTTTAGCTGATAATTTGTCAAGACGAAGGATCCTGCGTGATAATAGTCTGGCTATGAATGAAAAGGGAAAGGTTCTAAAAAAAAATTTTGCTTTTACATAGACACCTTGAACCGTCAAATAAAGTGATAAGGAACATAACTATGTTAGTGAAAAAGTTTAATTAGTTAGGAAAAAAAATCATAATCAATTTATATCAAGATTAAAAAAACGATTATGTATGAAAGTATGCATCTGAAAGATTAAGTATGTAAATAATTTCACTAAAATGAAGTATTTCAAGATTTTTAGACACCTTAAAGTTGGTGAAAATTGCATTGAATTGTTATTAACATTAGATAGATACAAGTCAAGTTAATAAAAGCATGTTTAAGAAGTACATTTCGTTTGATGGTATGTGTGTATTATAATTTACATTTAGTTTAAGAGAACGGTTAACAATTAAGATTGGTTTCCAAGTGATACTCTGTTTAGTAAGTCTATCAGAATAAAGGATATTATTATTACTAATTCCCAAAACCAAGGCTTCTTAATTAAGTATTTTGAACTTACTTATCTCTGCTAATGTGGCCACAGCTGGACGGGATAGTCGATCAGCTGTAGGGTCTGCTGCAAGTGCAGCTAGACATCGAAGAAGTGCTGCTGCAGCTCTCATTGTGCACGCCCGCCGAGCAACACGCATAGCTTGGGCACGTTCTTCTTCATTGCGAATAATAACTTCCATAGATCTATAAAAAACGTGATAGTCTCACATTTGAAAACTTTCTTCATATTCAGTTTCAATAATTGTTATTTGTATTAACTCTACTATTATGTACATTTTGTGTATACAATGTACATGGCAACTTCTATTTATGAAATTTGTTCATAACATGACACAGTAATTATATCAAATTGGTTATTTTTGATTAATGCAATCTATTCATTTTTCAACTCTATGTATTGCCTTTACAGTCAATAATCTATTTTTAGGTATTCTATTCTTAGGAAATACTAGGTATGAGGGTAGTGTTGGCATAGCCAAAACAATTATGTTATACTACTAACACTTAAGTATGTAAAAGGAAAAGGGTATATTAACATAAATATAAGTACTTGTCAGTTTAGAGTTAATATTTGTGCAACTACAATGATGAAAAGACCTCTGAAAAGTAGCTCAATCCTAGACTATGGATTCAGCACCTTGGCTTAGTTTTGTGATCAATTACATGTACCATTTATTAGTAATGTAACCTTATTAAGCACTAATCATCATTTTAGATGTGTGGACGAGCTCACAGCCCACCTGGTGTTAAGTGGATACTGAAATCCATAGACATCTACAACATAAATGCGCCACACCCCTTGAGATATAAGTTCTAAGGTCTCAATATAGTTACAACGGCTGCCTCACCCTTCAAGCCGAAACGCATTACTGCTTCACGGCAGAAATAGGCGGGGCAGTAGTACCCACCCGTGCGGACTCACAAGAGTTCCTACCACCAGTAATTACACAAATTAAAAATTTGCGGGTCCCAATATAGCCTTTATTTATGGTCATCACTTTCCGGCTAGCGTGTTAGCAGCAGTAGAAATTTGTATGAGAAAAGACTGAATCAAACCAATTAACAAAAACAAACAGGCATAAAATAAAAATAGGTGAGGTCAGCAACATCTTAGCACTGTTTTATAGATATCTCCAGTTTAAAACACAGTTTTCTAAGAGTTTTACAATAAAAAGTGCTTTATTATTTTTTACCTTACAACGAGGTAGGGTAATTTCATATTATTGAAAATAGTGACATCATAATCAGTCTTCAACAAGTGACGTATGACTCTTAAAGCGGCAGCTCGAATAACCATAGACTCATCCACAAGACTAATACGCAAGCTGAAAACAAGAAATATGTTTTAAATAATACCTACTTATGTTTCATATTCTCTAAATAAATGTTAATATTTCCTTCAGTTTTCATAAGTTGTACGCATAATTAAATCTACTGTCTCAGAGTCAGTTTAAGTTATAAAAACTGACATACTTCAAGATTATTAATATCTTCTGTGCAAAATGAAACATTAGTCTGGAAATATTATTATAGAAAAACAAAAAGTAGTTAGTTGAAGGTCGACTAACAATACTCAAATGCTGACAACATATTTTTCATACATGACTACAAAAACATCAGAAATAATGAAAAACGTAAGATAAAATCTTAAAAGTTGTTTAAATTATAATATATATAACCATATACGACTTTACAATTTGACATTAGTGTGATTTTTGTGACAAATTATAAGTAACAATAACTTTGTTAAAGACCCTATTTTATTTTAAATACTTACAATACAATATGGCATACAACAATGAGTTTCGGCTATGATACAAGAATATTTATTGAGCTTATAAGATTCAGTATTGAAATTTTGTCACAACAATATCATTTTAATATATAATTCTTACCATGCCATCAACTCATCAGGAGTAAACCCTAGGTTGCTTCTCTCTTCTTTACATAACAATGTTACTAATGCATTCAGGTAGGCCAATTTTCTGCTATCAGTACTACTTCTGTGCATGCCTCTAAATCCTGACCTGTATTCCGTAGGCACAGTTTTGTAGGAGGGAGATGTATCATTTTGTGTTGATTTTCTTACGTAAAGGCCTTGTATTATGTCCCTGATATTCTCTTCCGGAGTTCTATTCTTGATGTCCAACTTAAACAAATCACTTGCAGGTTTTCCTAAAATATGTGATGAAAAATTATAGTCTATGCTGCATGGCAAATAGTAACAGTCGAAGTCAATATAATTGAAAACAACATTAACGTAGAAATTAAACAAATCGTTAATGTAATTTCTACAAATAAATTACCTCTCCTTCGATTCAAAATGTGTTCGGATAAATCCATCATCTCATTTTCAAAAACACAAGCTAAATTCGATATTGTTAAATAGTCACCGCTCTAATTAATTAGTTTTTCTCAGGGTTAAAATAAATTAACTGAATACAGAAAGTGTAATAAAATTACAACCCTGTTTTCCTCGCACACCAACATCACAAATCCACACATTTGATTTTTTTAGACGTCTGACATTCATTGACGTATTTGACAAACTGTTAAAATGTTTAAGTATGATCTATGCTAAGTGAAGTTTTTGTTTTGTCAAAGACGCAAATGAAATTGCAATTCTATAAATTCCCATAACATGATTTTCAACTAGCAAAAGTGTGCTTTGTACGAGCTTTTTAACTCTAGCGGCAAACGTAGGGGAACTGTTCCAACTCCACACAAATTTGAGGCAACTTTTACGCGATCTAGAAGCTAAAAAACTCGCACTAAGCACTTACAAAGCCCCATACTCATGATCAAGTAGCTATCCTTCAACAATCGATTACAATCAGAAGCGGTGTGGTTGTTTTGGAAGCCATAAAAATACTGAAAAAGGTATAGGTATTTTAATGAACTGCAGCTCAGTTGATACACGTATAATATATACGTATATCAACTGAACTACATATACGATATACGAACTACAATATTATACGATGTATGATATACGATATACGTGATATACGCTTAAATACTATTTGCAAAGTCGAACTTCGTCATTCCACCAGTGGCGTAGTAACTAACTCATCTGTGACTAATGGTGGGTGTACATTTAGGGCAGTCGGGGCAAGTGCCCAGGGTGGCAAAATTTGAAAGTGAAAAATTGTTTTTTTAGTCTTATCAAGATTGTTCTATATAATTAATTACTTTTATTAATTCATAATTTTCTGTTTAATTGATAATTCAAGAAATTCAATTCATCCATTATTTGCGCATTATAATTTTGGCACATTTGGAAAAAAAAATTAATAACCAAAATGATTTAATCAATTTATTTCCTTGGGATTTAAAAAAATATCGGATGTTTCTATTTTCTGGAAATAAAGAAATTTAATTAGTATTTTTTAATGTAATGTCATTATGTGTCACCCTTGGTACAACATTTAAAATTGTTAGAGAAAAACAAATATATTTTATTTGTTTTTGGAATATTTAACATAATATATAATAAAGCATACAAACAAAAGTTACAAAATATACTACTATTTTGTAACATTGGTTACCTTTAAATTTTTTGGCTGGATAAGTTAACTAAGGAAGCTTCTAGTGAAGGTGTACCATTGAACATAGTTCCTAATTATACCGATTGTGTCAACTTAGGGTGCGTTCCACTGAACGCACCCTAAGTTAAGCGTGATCGTTGTGAACGCTTAGTGAAGCGTTCACAACGATCACGCTCACGACCGCAATTTTTCCCGTTCCACTTGCTCGTGAGCGTTACTGTCGTAAACTCAAGTGGAATGGATTTATAGAGCGTTTTGAGCGTGGAGGTAAATAATACAAACGGCGAGTTAATAAAAAGCTTTAAGAGGTTAGGTTATAATCTGTAAGCCTTGAAAATAAACTTATTTAATATTGTTTAAATCGATTCATATTGAAAACATTTATAATTTAATCTTTTATATTTAATATTAGTGGTGTATTTAATTAATTTACGTTCAAATGTAATTAAAATGTCTTTTCGGTGGCTTTTCGGCACTTGGATATTTGCTAAGAGGTCGCAATAATGCTCCAGATAGTATCTCTTTCCGCATAAAATAACGTAAGCTTAACGGTCGCCATTTTTGATGCTTTGAATTTTGAAAACGCCGCTAATTCTCTCAACGATCACTTCGACCCACCTTTTTAGATGGGTCGTCGTGGGCTTCGCGTGAGCGTAAGTCATGACGTTATAAGTGACGTTTTCAGTTTGTGATGTAGTGGAAGACGCTTTTCACATTATGATGGAGTGTGCGCGGAATGATGATTTGAGACAACAATTCTTTGAAAAACATACAGATTTTCGACAAGTTGGAGGTGTAAATTGCGTATTAACCTTTCTGGAATCTGAAATGGCTAAGTCACTTTATAAAATAGTGTTGGTGGGCCTTCAGAGACGATAACAGTTTTCTTTATTTTATTTTTTGTTACTATCTTTTGTTGCACAATGGAGTGACATATTCACTAAGTGAATAATCTCCATAAATAAAGATAAAAAAAAAAAAATTGGTTAAAGTTTCTTTAATAATAATTAAACATACAATGCAAAACCTAATATACCAGCTTAGTGTAATATACTAGCTTTAGAAAGAAGAAAATACTAGCTTAATTTAATATTGTTACTTTTTTTTTTCTAATTATCTGTTAATCAACATTAACGCCAACGCGCGAGAGACAGATTCCAAGGTAGGAGTATTCCTCAATACAATAACTCTTGTATAATATTTTCCGGAGTATATAAAATGCACTCTTTTCGTTGATATTTGCAAGCCCACTGAGTTTCTCGCCGGTTCTTCTCAGTGAGTCGCGTTTCCGATCCGGAGGTAGATTCTGCGAAGCACGGCTCTTGCTAGGGTTCGTGTTAGGAACGTCGTCAGGTTTGAGCCCCGTGAACTCACCTGCTAGTTAAGGTTACGCTGAAATAGCCTCTCAAGGCTCTCAGCTAGGTAGGGGAAAAAAAACTGCTTTCTTTTCAGAATGCAGTTGCAGTTGCAGTTGCAGTTGCAATAATATTTAGTTATGTATATATCGAATTATAATGTAATTTAATTTTAATATTATATATAGAGACACTTAGGGACTGGTATAAAAAAAAAGTATCATTACCTAAATTAAAAAACTTTAGAAATAAAGTGCTAACGCTGAGTTCATCATGATTTCCAAATTTTTTATGAACAAATTATGGTAGGCAGCGGCTTGGCTCTGCCCCTAGCATTGCTGACGTCCATGAGCGACGGTGACCACTTACCATCAGGTGGGCCGTATGCTCGTCTGCCTACAAATGCAATAAAAAAAATATATATATGATAGGTATTCAAATGCTATCTATGATATTGTGCAAGAATAAGCTTGAGCTTATATATTTTGATTTTCTGATTCCTTTGAGTCAGGAGCACAGAACTTAAACCACCTCTGATGTGGCTCACTGAATTTGGCCCTCCTTTTTTTTGATTTTCGGTTTTATTTATTTATTATTTGTTCGTCGTTTGTTCGTTAATGTTCAAAATGTAAAAATTGTTTGTTCGTCTAGGGGGGCTAAATTCATTATTTATCAATTCTCAAAGGATAAGCTCAATTGGAATGAGCTCTTTGGAATGAGCTCATGGGCTCTGTAAATTTGGCCCCCCTTTTTTTGATTTTCGGATTTTTTTAATAACTCCAGCAACTAGCTCCAGCCGCTTGCATCAACCGCTAGCTCCAGCCACTTGCACCAGCCACTTGCACCAGCCGCTAGCTCCAGCCGCTAGCTCCAGCCGCTAGCTCCAGCCGCTAGCTCCAGCCGCTTGCACCAGCCGCTAGCTCCAGCCGCTTGCACCAGCCGCTAGCTCCAGCCGCTAGCTCCAGCCACTTGCACCAGCCGCTAGCTCCAGCCGCTAGCTCCAGCTGCTTGCACCAGCCGCTAGCTCCAGCCGCTAGCTCCAGCTGCTTGCACCAGCCGCTAGCTCCAGCCGCTTGCACCAGCCGCTAGCTCCAGCCGCNTGACGTCCAAAAAAAAAATTTAGGTCTCTCGTGTCGTGGAGTATCCGAATCACCCCCATGTATGTTCCGCGATTTTTGATAGTTTTCGAGTATGATATCATAACTCGAAAACTACCTTTATGATTTTTTACCTTTATTACGTTATTTTTATGCTGGTGCCAGCCGCTAGCTCCAGCAACTAGCACCAGCCGCTAGCTCTAGCAACAAGCCCCAGCCAGTCAATTAGCGCCAGCATTTTAGTACCAGCTGCTTGCACCCGCCGCTTGCGCCAGCCGCTAGCTCCAGCAACTAGCGCAGCCGCTAGCTCCAGCCGCTTGCACCAGCCGCATAATTAATTTCAATTATAACTTTGAACATTATTATGGTTCTATTGTCAAAGAGTTCTTTAATCACAGATTTCACAAATACACTATAGGCATTTAAATTATTATATTAAAGACAAACAATATTATTCTATTCTCAATTTGATCACAGATTTTATCAATAAACAAAAGAATATATGCATGGGTGTGTGTAAAATACATGGTAGTGTATGTAATGTTTTCTTTATTGATTTAATGATTTTTTTTGGCATAAATAAAAAATATTCTGCACTCTTTCTCTATGTTCTCTATAAGTGTGGGAAATAACATACTCCTCCGTCCGCGCAATTTTCATAAAAAGGGGTACAAAGTTTTTGCTTCACGTATGAATATATAGATAAACTAGTAAAGTTTTTAACGCGTCTATATACGCGTCTATATACAAGCCACAGCAAGTCTTGTGGAAGTAATTAATTATCTCCACTATGTACTCGCCTACTCTTATAAAGTTTTGTTTTTAAATGACATCTATAAAAGCACACGCGTACAGGAGATATACTGTCGATCCGCCTAGGAATGCAGTAAAAGCCCCCAGTGGCAGAAATTGTAGAGGCTTTTAATATGCAAAAATAACAGTAAAGGGGGGCAGCCCTAAGTTTAAGTGGGAGGAAGAGGGAGGAAGTGTCGTGCGTGCGATTTAATTCCATCGCCTCGCTCGGGACCCGCGGCTCTCCGCCCGGCGATAGGCACGACCTAATGATTGAACGATACCGCAATAATATATTTTAGGGGAATTTAAGTCTTTGTTTTGGCGAGTATTTTGTATTTTGTTTATGTGGCGGCCTTAGAACTCGTATAGAATTAACTCGGCCCACTGAGTTTCTCGCCGGATCTTCTCAGAGGGTCGCGTTTCCGATCCGGTGGTAGATTCTGCGAAACACTGCTCTTGTTAGGGCCAGTATTAGTAACACGATTTGAGCACCGAAAGCTCACCTACACGCTACGGTGAAGCTTAAATAGCCTCTCAAGTCTATGAGCATAGGTAAGAAAAAAATAACTAGAATGAATTGTTTACGAAACGTATTAGGTATAACAATGAGTTGATTCATAAGTCCTTTTTTTTAGCTTAGACTTCTGAACAGGCTCACGGCCCGTCCGCTGTTAATGCTGCCACCAATCTTGATACTTGAGATGTATGTGTATCAATTGTGTAATTCCGCAAATCCATATTTTTCCGGGTTCAGTTTCTATTACACGATAGATATATCCTTAAAAATCTCCTCATTGTCTCCACCTTATCCCACTAAGTGGGGTCGGCACAGCGAATTTTAGTTTTCCATTCTCTTCTAGCAGCCGTCATCTCAACACTCACTCCACTCCCTTTCTCACATATCGTCATTCACACACTCCATCTAAGTCTTCTTCGGTCGACCTCTTCCCCCTCTACCTTTTCCACACATCTCTAGTAAAATGCATCTCCCTACGCATCACATATCACGCTAACTACTTTCAATACCAACAGAAACAGAAGCGCTAACATAATTTGATGTTAATTGATGTGTATATATATATATATATATATGACGGAGGAGAAACGCTGAAGGAATGTTTTTAAAAAGTGTGACATCACCATTGCTGACGTCACGGTCATTAAGTTCTCGACGATGACTCATGTTTGGGCTTCCAAAACAAAACTTCACGAGAACTGCGTATATTGCACGAGAAGCATAACAACGTTACAGAGAGATCCGTACTGTACTACGGCTCGGACACGAATGAATCAACGCTAGACAGCACGGCCGTATTTATAGGACTTCGTACACGTCAGCGTGTTTACAAGTATTAAACACGTGAGCGTGTTTACAAGATTTTAAAGTATTGAAATTACAATAAAAGGGACTGTTTAACATCAATTTCTTATCACAGAGTAATTAGTTGATGATCAGTAGGTAAATAGTCATATTTGCGCCGACATATATAA